AGATGCAGGACAAACCTGGGACAGAGTTACCTTGGGAAAAATCTATGGCAAAAATACTCTAGTGTCCACTTCCATTCAAGAGTAGCCATTTGCTATAGGCCAGTGGTTCTCTACCCTTTTAGATTCAGGGCATGCCTTCATACTTTTTTTAATTTGTCGGCATCCCGGTTGAAAACCACTGTTGTGATGATTCAAGCTTATGTCAGTGGCCCTTAACCAGGGTGCTGCTGCTGCCATTGCAGTCAGGTGGAACTGCCCTGTGTGCCTCCTGTGGAGCAAGACCAGAAAAGGCTGGGGCCAAATCACTTGCACCAGCCTGCATGAGAGTTATCTGATAAACTGAAAGCAGGCAAGGAGTCCTTGCTCTTGTCTCAGCCCTTCATAATCTAACCTGTCCCCTCCCATGTTCCTCCCAGGAACAGAGGCACATTAGACAGTTCCACCTGCCTTTGCACTTTTGTTTCTAGTAAGCAGGGGCAGACCAAGAAGGGCACATGATCCTGCTGCAGGTCTCCCTGGTCTGTCTATACAAGATACATGAGGCAGTTTCACCCAGTTGCAGTGGCAGTAATAGTAGTGCCAGTGCTGTGGCACCCTGGTTGAGAACCCACTTCTATACACAAACAGGCTGGTACATACTCTCCCATCAACTAATAGCCACTGTAATAGCACCTACTGCAAACAGCAGCTCCTTGATAACTGGCTTGTCCACTTGGGATACCAGTATGATTTACATCAAGTATACAAAACCAGTATACATTGCATCAGTGTAAATGTTTTGGGGTCTACACCTTGAGTTTCTTTTCTTTAAAAACTGCATACATGTAGCAATGGAAAAAAGATGAAAGAGAGGACAGATTGAAAACAAGGCCAGCAATGAGTCATAAGTATTAATATGGTAGACACTTGAAGAGAAGTATAGGGAAAGAAAAATGAAACAACAGAAGAGGGGAAGAAGATCTTCATCTTGTCTTCTATCCTTCATGATCTATTTTCAGTGCTTTTAGAAACAATATACAATTATACTTAGTACTAGTATACCAGATACAAGACCTAAAGTAGTGCTTTTGAGTTGTAGTTAGTTTCAGAAGTGTCAATTTGTACCCTTCATCCCTAGGTAAGATGCTTTTGTTAATTGTTACCATATTAAACCTGCTCCTGCAAAAGCTTCCAATTCATGTTGCTGCAAAAGGCAGATAAGTAGATTAACTCTCATTATACAGAGTGTTTCCTTCCCACACTCAAGGATTCTCAACCAAGGGTTACTGCAAGAGCCTTTGAAGGGTTATGCAAGGTACGAGGAGATAATCAGGTAAGCACAGGCTTGAGGTGAGTGCCAGACTCTTTCTTGGACCCTCTGCAAAGAATTAAGCACTGTAAGTTATATATAGGATACCTCTCATTCAGACAAATAATTAAGGGGTGTCTTAAGTCTGAAAAGGCTGAGAACCACTCTAACTAAATAAAGTTAGCTGAAACTAACTTCTTATGGGAAATCAGCCTTTGGCAAGATCATTCTTTCACACAGAGACAAGAATGCAGAGTGTCGCACAGAGGTTGTCAGCCAGTTGGATAACCCGTGCATTGCAGCTTTGAGCAAGTCAGCAGAAGTTTATTTTTTTGGGCCTGCTCTTGCTCCCATCGAAGTGAACAACAAAAACATCAATGATTTTACAGGAAGCAGCAAAAGTTAGGGATAAGTCATGGGTTTGGAAACAGGAACCCCTGATTTATAATCCTGTTGTGAAATCCTGGCTCCGCTGAAGGAGATTCTCATTGGTCCCAAGTGGGACAGGAATGAATCCCCATGGGCCCAATGCAACTCTCGCTGCAGTCAAGGGAAAGATTCCTTCAGGAAGAGTCCTCATTTTCTTGAACCAGGTCTTTTGGGGAAGTCACTTCAGGCAAAATTTTCAAATAGAGCGTACAAAATTCAGTCCCTAGGTCCGTATTTTGAAGCCTGGCTCTAGGGATCCACATTTGAAGTTTTAGGCCAAAATATTCCTGCCTCATTTTCCTTATCTGTGAACATAGAGTTCGTGCTGCCTTTGCTACCTACCTGCTGGGGTGTCATGGCAGTTAGGTATCATTTGTTCAATGATTTGAAAATGTAAAGCATTTCTCAATGCAGTATATTCTACATCTTGCTCTCCTCCACAAATCTTTGTGGTAAAATAATAGCTAATAATATCTCATTTTGCAAGATTCATTTTGTTCCCAGTCCTACAAAGCTCTTCAGTATGTCACTAAATTTAGACACGTGAACTTTTCCACTGAAGTTGTGCACTTACATTTAAGCATATATCCTTGTAGATATGAGCCCTTACTGAAATTACTTAGCCCAGACTAAGCAAGACAATGTATCTTATGCAGTCAAGATCTTATATGCCTTTTATTTAGAACTAAATTATGATTTGATTCTGGGTGAAAAGGTAAGAAATAACTCTTTAAAAGTATTTGAAGACTGTGAGCATCAGAAGGGCAGAGAACTACTATATTTTCTTGCATACTACAAGAAATGGAGTCTGTTGCAGGCTGAATCCAGCCTGTGGGCCAGACTTTGCTAGGCAGCCAGCAGCAGCAATAATCTGTTGCTCTCTGGCAGAAACTACAGCCATCAAGACACTGAACATCTGGATTCATCTGGCCTTTGGATTCTGTCTTGATGGTCTAAAGTGGGGATGGTAGGTCTAAGGCAGCCTCCATTTCATGCTCTTGCCTAGGCGTATGAGCTGGAAGGTCTTGGTGAGATGGTTACATAGGCCTCTTGTCCATATACCATGATCCATAAGATCAACAGTTGCCAAAAAGAACATGCCCCTAAGCAAGACATGCACCTTGTTTTTGGGAAGGCAGAATGAAGGGGGCAAAAAAGATTACTCCTGAGTTATGGCTACATAGAGCAGGGATAGAGCTCACTCACTCTCCTGTTCCTGCTTAACTAAAAGTGGAAACCCTAGCTGCTGCTGAAGATTGGTCCCCATGGGTGAATTTATGATTTTGAAAAGAGCTAAAAAGCCTAAAAGGCTGTGAAACAGGAGAAGCCAGCAGACAGTAGCATTGCCAAAAGAAAGGTAAGCTTGATTAGTTGAATACTGAGACCAAGGAGAGATGATCATTAACACCTGAGGAGTGAAGACCAATGAACATTAAGTAAAATGACTCCCTTAGTTGCCTGAATGGAAATGCCACTGCTCCCTCAGAAAAACCACAAGAGTTCAGAATGTTTTTGACACTTTGCATTCCTATTCAAAGTGTCTGAATTTATCTTGTGAATCCTGTATAAGTGCTTATGTGCCTAACAGTGGTCATATTACGTTTCACCCTTAAAAGGATCTCACAGCACCCAGGTTGGAAATCATTGCTGTAGATAATACATCCCAAATGTATGCATCAAGATAGTGTGTGTTTTAAGTCCCTTGGACATAGCTTTGGCCTTTACATAAAAGACTACTTTTACTAAAAATTTTCCAGTGAACTGAAAATCGGCAGTGAAAACAGAATTTCTGTGCTGTGTCTCCACTAACCAGGGAGAGGGCATTCAGTGCAGAAATAAGTTTCAACTAACCTTTTAACGCTTCCTCTTCTGAATTCCCCTATTTCTTCATAGTTCATAGATCACACTTCAGGAAAAAAAGAGAAGGCCCACTTGCATGGTGCATGCAATATCAGGGAAAAATGCATTCTGGGAAAACTTCAGGGAATTTCAAATGGGATGGAGGGAAAGGGAAGGTAAAATATTAATTAAAGCAGTTAACTTGTGACTATTTCTCAAAGTCTTGTTATTATTGAGTGATGAGCATGGTAATCAAGATTTATCTTGGCATTTGATTTTAAAGAAAAATTTCTTTCTTTAACAAAGCAATGATTCAAAGCCTGCATTGAGGTATCCTAGAACACATTGTATTTTTGTAGTGTAATCTTTAAATGGCATTTAGATACCAGGGGGTTAAGTGCCTTAGTTAAAATAACAGGCCAGTAGACAACAAACCAGTGAGAATTGCTCCTGTTTGCTTAGCTATCTGTGTTTATAGAAAGGCTCTAAGTGATTTGGAATCACAGAGGCATGTGCAGTCCTGGCAGTACGTATAGTCACAAAACTTGTTACGCTTGTTCTCCCTCCAGCATGCCCTCATTTTGCTTGTTTTGCTCATTTGTTACAGTTCATCTTACACTCAACTGGATACATTGGCACTGAGAGTTAGGGTCAACCCTGAGAGTTGCCCTTAACCAACCTGAGTCACATGAGCTTTCCCATCTCTATCATGCCTTGTAACCCACATCACTGCCATCCATACTGAGCTTCCTGCAAAGACAAGAAGTGGGATGCAAAGGGCAGACACTCGGGAAAAGAAACTTTGCTAATAGTGGACTTGCTGTGTTGGAGCTTAGAGTTCAAGGGTAAATTCCAAACATGCTGCCGAATAGGGATGGCTAGGCAACAAATAGCAGAAGCTGCAGAGCTACCCACTAATCCCGTGAAGTTTTGTACTGATCACTGGCTTCAGTAAATATAGGCATACAATGAATGAGAAGAACTAATAAACAAATTTAATAGTGGAGCTGTAGGCAGGCATTCCCAGCTTCCTCATTCTCCTGTTAGGAAACCTCTCTAAATTGTAATTTCTGTCACTACAAATTCAGTGTAATTTCTAAGATTGTGCTTTGGGGTTTTCAGTGTAGAAAGGTTGACCCTAAATATCGGGTAGACACAATGTAAGTACTCTGGGACAAGGAAAGTGTCACCTTATGCTTTTGTAGAGTATGCAGCCCAGTAACTGGCCAAATGTTGATTTGGGCCTTTGGGCATTATCACAATACAGAGGTACTCCAATTAATGCCTATGCAAGTTATAGGGTGCAAAATTAATGTTTTCCTCTTGTGTTCTGAGGGAAATGAAGGTTAATTCAGTGTCAACTGCTGAAAACATATAAACAGTCAGTATCCAGTGCTGAAAACAATATAGTGTTGTCACCTGACTAGTTCTATTGCAACCCTAGAAATGGCAGTGCAGAAATGGCAGCAGTGTATTATGAACGCATTGATGTGGAAGGCCACCATTATGGACCTTCATCTGTTCAGAGGAAGAATGCATTAAAAGCAGTGGACAGAGTCCTTAGCAACATGATGAAGCTGATCAAGGTTAGTGACATGAGAAAAGAGTGTACTTTTTGATATGTTTCATTTTTAGTACTATTAATGCTCTTTTACAACAGCTTGTCACTTAATATGCATGTGTCAGTTCAAGCGTTCAAAGGTACTAGTACCTTTCTTTTTGTAAAGTACTGGATAAGTGCTTTGTAATGAAAGACTCCTTTGTAATAATTGGTAGAAATAGTTTTTTTTTCCTACTCAAACCATGCTACTTAAAGGAGAAGCTGAATCAATCAGTCCAGAACATCCAGCTTGAAATACTTCTGCCATGGCAAAAAAAAGTTTCAGCTATTGTTATGTTCTACCATAGTAACTTGTATTCCTTCTTTGCATAACCTCAATTAGTATGAAAGTTCAGAGGTTTGGAGGCTAGTCATGCCTATTTTACTGGCTGTGGGCTTAGGTCTTACTGTTTGGGGGACACTTTTGGCTGGCATATGTAGCAGAGCCCCTAGATGGTAGCCCTGAATGAGTCTCCCTTTCCAATGGACTAGGCTAGGTGGTAGTGCCCCTGGTATGGTTTACTAGTGACTCAGACTGTTAATGCTCAGGTTTTGCTTAATGTTTAAAGGTTAAGGTTCTCTCTAATGTTGTATGTTTATCCTTTTTTCCCCCCCTGATTAACTCTTGTTTCAGCTGAATGTTGCATGTGAGTGGGGAAGTTTATTCACTTTAGAATACTCAGTTAAAATGTATTTTCTCAGGTTTCTGGGTGGGGGCTTGAGCCAGATTTAGAAAGTGTTAAAAATTTGAACCTGACCCTTGTTGTTGTTGCCCAGGACCTTGCAGAAGGGTTCCATTTACATTGAGTAAACCGTATGTCGGTAAGAACATGTGTCAGTAATAAAGTTTGGTTATCAGTATGAAGTCTGCAGATTGTCAGTAAAATTAAAAATTGTGCCTTGGCAACCCTGTTCCAGATTCAGGTATAAGGTTGAATCAGGAGTTCAGTTTGGGTTTGGGGGTGAGGGGCTGGCACATTTTTATAAAGGAACTTCTGAAAGGTCTCAAGACAAAATGATGCATTTTTTCAGGAGATCTGCTGTCTTGAGAAATTTTTGCCATGTTAAGTGAATCTACACCAGAGGTGCTTACACAGGTTACATTTTTCATGTGACTGGGCCCTTGAAAGTGGTCTACAGCCATGATGTAACACACATGGCATGGCTGCAGAGCACTTTTAAAATGGCCAATCGTGCAAAATATGAACGCTCCTCAAATGAGTTATTAAAAGAAGACACTCTAAAGCAGAGTGTCTTAAGGAACTTGCAGTCCCTCTGGGGTTAACTTTTTGTGCTTTGTGGGGCTGCCAGCGGGGGCGGGGTGGCGCAGGGGATGGGGAAGGAGCAGCACAGAGCTGCTTGCACAGCTTGGCCTGACTGGAGCTGGGGGGAGAAATGAATCCCCCTTGCCTCACAGGCCTGGCCCACCTCCCCCCAACCCCCAGCTGGGGTAGCTGGGGAGAGGCCTGTGAAGTGAGGGGTCTCCATTCCACCCTGTATCCCCTCCAGCTCCAGCCAAGCCAAGCCCAGCTAGCAGCTCTGTGCTACTCCCTCCCCCCACCCTTGCTAATAGCCACAGAGCTAGGAGGGAGGAGTGGGGCATGGATGGGTAGAGGGGTCGTTCAGCAGCCCCCTTGGAAACTGTTGGAGCATCCCCACCTGCTGGCCAGGGCCCGTGCAGGCAGGCTCGATCTCGCCTGACCTAATAGGTGAACATCTGTTGGGTTGGGGGAAGGGACTTCAACTCATGGTGCTTTATGTAAAATGCCATGAGTTAGGGTGCCTATAAATGTTTAAGGGTGCCACTCTAGATTTGTAAAATGTGTCTCTACTGGCTTCAAATCTAAGACCTTAAACCATAAAGGTATATTTGGATCAAAGGGTTCAAAATTTAACCTACTGCTCCAAAATTCAGGGCTTAAAGGTTTGAATCCCTCTCTAAATTTAATGGGATATACTATATTAAAGGTAAATCCCAAGTATTCACTTAAGTAGTATGCTGGAAGTGGGAAACATCACTTCTCATTCCATCCCTTTTCTCCCCACACATTTTTTTCTTTTGACAACTCAGTGTGAGCAGTATGGGTAAGCGTTACCCATATGTAGTACACACGCAATGATTCAGTGGTTTCTTTAAGGAATGCCGCAAGGGTTGTCATCCAGTTTTTCAAACGAAGATACATTTCAAAACCCTTTAAGAGGAACCATTGACTTGTCACTTGCAGTGATTCAGTGGGAGGCTGGACTTGTTTTGGCAATTATTCACTGCTATGTTTGAATCTTACAAGAAAGAGACCAAGAGGAGACTTTTGACTGTTGTTGTAATTTACTGTAAAATATTCCAAGCCAAATTAATGCCTGATTTTACTGAAACCAGCAGGCTTGCAACAGGAATTAATTTAGCCGCCTATCATAGAATTTTAAGCACGCTATATTATTTTCCAACTATAACTGCTGTCTTACTAACTTGACAGGACAAGGGCCTTCAGAGTGACCTGAATGTCATTCTTTTCTCGGATCATGGGATGACTGATATTTCCTGGGTGGACAAAGTGATCGAGTTGAAGAACTATATCGATATGACTGATGTCATACAAATAAAAGATCGAGGCCCTGTTGTGAGCCTGTGGCCAGTTAAGGAGAAGCAGACTGAGGCAAGCAAATGAGTTACCTTTTTATTTTTTCTGTTTCATAGAAATTATTTCTTTGCTTTAGTTTTACTACTAACCAGATTCTGCACAAAGGCAGGGTAGATATCCACTTACATAGAATTACTAAATAACATAAACAACAGAGCACAAAGTTTAATGAACCCCTCAGCTCTATATGTACAAGTCCTATTGAAAGTAGTGAGTGTTGTAGATCATGGGAGAGTTTAGTCCTGTTTCATACCTTACCTAAACATGGCATGTAAAGAGCAAATTGCATTTTGAATGAAATGCATATCAAACAACTCAAAAACCCCTCTCAAAAATGTGTATGCATTCTCATTATTCTGTACACATAGACACACTCTCACACTAGCAACATGTTTGCTGTAGATATGGAAGTAAACTCCTTGTTTTCTAAATTTTCATTTATTACTATAAAGCATTACCAACAATATCAAACCTGGGACTTAACATCAGAATTAATTAGATTAACATTAATTTGTGGATAGGCACCTAATAGAAGCAACCTGATTTTCAGAGACCATGGTACCCCCAGGCTTCCTTGAATTCAGTTGGTCTGAAAATTGGTTCAGTTCTCAATCCATTTTCACGTATTTCAAATATGAACTGAAATTTAGGATCAAGGCTGAGATTTTTAAAAATGAGTTTAAGAGGGTTAAGTATTTTAATTCTTATTAATGTTAATAGAATTTGGATCCCTAAGTTCCTTTTAAATTTCTGGGTTATTTTTGTAAAATTTCATTATAAGAACCTTGTAAGAATGAGCCATGGTTGAGTTAATACATGATAAAATCCCAGGGATGTTAGTTTTAGAACACAAGTTACTATAACACTGGAAGTCAAATTGTGCATTGTAAGTGCATTTCAGGACTGAACTTCATGGATGTGCCACATGTGTAACTGATAAGATGCCACATCTATAGTTCTGCTAAGCATGTACTTGAGAAACTTATAATCTATTATTAAAAAAAAGATATCTAGCCTTTACTACTGCAAGATATTTTTTCCTGCAACACATTTTTGTTAATTACAATTTCTTACCTCACTGTACTTTGTGGGGTACATGATTATGGGACAGTGCAACAAATATAGTTTCCTGAACACAAAGAGCTACTTGAGGCTACAGAGCAGGCTTTTATTGGGACTTGATGATCTGAGCATCTGAAGTGAATGCCAAGGTCTAAAGCAATCTTAAAGAAATGTCAGGTCTCTCATCTAGCATTCATGGTGATGCAAGTTTTTTAAAAACTCAGTGCCCGCTCTCCTTGCCTAACCACCTTACTCAGAGGCTTCTATGTTTGTGCTTGCATCTCCAAACCAGCAAACTTTAATGCTTGCGACTTACTTAGACCCCTGTTCATCAGAGCACTGAATCATAAGCCTAACTTCCTTTAAATGGCTGCATATCCTTGTATAGTGAAGGAATTTAAAACATTGGTTCTGTATCAGATTGTCATTCTAACTCATGTTGTGAAATAGGGGTAGGATACTTTGTAGGTATTCATTGCATTTAGAAACAATGAGACTCTTTATGAATCAATGTACAACTTACTGTATGAGCAGCAGGATCCGTCCCAGTGAATCCAGTTAACAGATACTGGTGCATTCATGCTCCACTGTGACTTTACCTGTTGAGCTTTACTGTGAACTGTGTATTTTAGCAGAGGAAGTTGTGCTGCTTTAATGCTGCTGTAGTTAAAAAAAAATGCAGTTGCACTATGTATTGCACATTCAGTACATTGCTTTAATGTGACTTTTAATGGCTGATATGCACAAGGACTTTTGGAAACTTACCACACAACAAAGCATCAATTCATCCATATTGGTTCTTAAGAGAACTGTATACCTTCAGAAGTTGAGTAACCGTTCTCCACAGAATAGTATCTGCCGGTGTGATATTTTTGTACTGTTTCTCCAGAATGGCTTGAATCATCCTCCACATATATGATGAAATTACAGACCATAAAATAATATTGATACGCATACTGTTGCAGCATTGTGCCTCTTCAAAACTCCATGCAAACACTGACTGGTTAAATCTCAGTTGATGGTTAGGCAACTTCAGCTCCAACTGACAGATCAAGATGAGAAAGACAGAGGTTAAATAACTCATTCAAGGTCACACATAAGGTGGTAGTGAGAGAGCCTTGAATAGAACAACCCTTTCCTGCTCCTGGATATAGTCCATGAGACTACTAAACATTTTAGAGAGCACTTACCATATTTACCCAAATACAAGATGCCTCTGAATTTAAGACAACCCCCCAATAATTAGATTCTATACACAGAAAATTTATAAAATTTATTACAATTTTCCATGTATAGAATCTAATTATTGTAGGATCATCTTAAATTCATCCCCCATGCTGCTGCAGGCTGTAATGGGACAGGTGGTGGGGAAGACAGACAGTGGGGGAGGCAGTAAGGGGGCAGGCAGGGGAGGGAGCAGTAGGGGACAGGTGAAGAGGGCAAGTGGCAGGGGTCAGGCAGTGTGGAAGCAGTGGGGGGGGCAAGTAGCTTGCCCCTGACACTTGTCCCCCCTGTACTTACCCCCCACAGCCTCAGGCCCCCACTCTGCATTCCACCCCCGCTTATACAGCTGCCCCCTGCAGCCTTGGGCCCCCCCCACCCTCCTCCATCTCTCTTCCCCTGCAAAGCCTCTCCCCACTGTCTGCCTCTCTAGCTACCCCTTACCTTTGTTCCACCAGCAGTTAGCTCTGTCCCTGATGCAGCCTGAAGGAACTGAGCATGGTTCCAGCCCAGCCCCACAGCTGTGGTGTACAGCTGACACTGATGCTACAGGGCCACACTGGAGCCATGCTCTGTGCTCCAGGATGCAGCAAAGACAGAGCCTGCTGGTGCAGAACAACAGTAAGGGGGAGTGGGAGGGGAGGGGAGGGGAGAGGAGGGGGAGAGAGAAGCCATATGGGAGGAGGGAGAAAGGGGTCAGCAGAGGCTTAAGGCTGTGTTGGAGGAGCGGTGGGAGGTGCAGAGGAGGCAGGGAGCAGGCAGCAGGATTGAGGCTGGAGATGGAGCCACAGCAACTGCTTGCCCCCACCACCTCATACTCAATTCTAATAAGACAAGGGGCTTTTCCTTCAAGTTCAATTGGAAAAAAACCCTCGTCTTTTCATCAAGTAAATACAGTATGTCCACTTCTTCACTTAGTGCCTCTGTAATTGTTTCCAGTGTAGTAGTTGTGTCTGTCTAGATACATAATCAATCAATGCTATGCGCGTGCGCACACACACACTCACCTCACTCACACGGTTCTGTCTGACCAGATTTTTAGAGATACCTCCCAAACCATACCTACATGTACATCATTTATGCCTGCAAAGCACCCTGCTTGAATGCATTAATGAGTACAAAGATGATTATCCATTCTGCTAAAATAGAAGTTTATAAGCACTAATTGGTTCATGTGCAGTTTCTGCAGTCAGTCTAACTTTTGCTTCCTTTACAGATATATAATAAACTGAAAACTGTGAAATACATGGATGTTTATAACAAAGAGGATATTCCAGAGAGATTCTACTACAAAAAAGGAAAATTTGTCTCTCCTCTAACCCTTGTGGCTGATAAAGGGTGGTTCATAGTAGAGGTAAAGTGTAAATCAAAATTAATTATAATCTAAAAGTGAGTTTAAAAATTTAAAAAATTCAATTTTGTAAGAAAAAGATGGGGAATATACAAGATTAAGTATAAGAGTTAGATTAATGACTTGTTTATTTGGTGTAAAAATCGCTGTATCCTATTTAAATATTAAAAATGTGCATTTCAGTGAAGTTAATGTGAGCAGTACACTAAATCAAACTAAAGCAAAATTAAGATCAGTTTAAAGGTTTTATTCTTGCTCCGTTTACCATATAATTAACTCCATTGTATCCATCCAACTTTCCTCCTTTTCAGCTTTCCTTTGGCCTGGTGCAAAGACTGCTTCTTGTTTCAAACCAGGGTTATCTTAACTTGTGACAATTTTTCTTCTGCCTAGTTCTCAAACCACCGTTCTGACATCAGACGGCACCTTAAAAGTACTGCTTCCTTTTTCACTTTACTCCCTCCCCAGGTATTTGCTATCATCTTGCCATCTATATGGTCTGCATTACTAATATTATCAATGATTCCTTGGCCTCTGGTATTTTCCCCAAATCTTATTTTAAAAGCGTAGTCTTTGGGTTTTTTTAAGGGGGGAGAAGGGGGTTGGAGCGGTAGGTCAATGGGGGGCTTGGAAATTACGAACTTTTAATTTATAAGGTTCCTATATCCAAAAATACAATTTTTACTCATGACAGCACATCACCTACACAATTACTAAAAATACTAAAAAAGACAAGCATTTTCATATTATAAATATTCTGACTCTATAATATATAGGTATTGCTATGTGTAATTATTTTGAAAATGTCATTAGTTTAAAGCACCAAATGTTAGTGGCTTGCATGTATAGGATATTTTATCTAGAAGGAACCCTAGACACTTCACAAACAGTGATCTTGATCTTCCATTTCTTGTCCTTCCAACTCCTACTTAATTCAGGCTTTAGAAGAAAAGACTATACTCCTGATTTTGGTGAACAGGGATTGGGTAAACCACCACTGAAATGTAACCATTTCTGGATCAGAATACAGTGGCTTTTCAAGAGCCCAAGATAGCAGGTACTGAATATCAGCACTTATGTCCCAGAAGTATTGGACCCTAACAAATGCATAGAACAGCAACACTATTCCACAGTTTGAAGGCAGGAATTGAAGAATGCCTTACTCAATTGAGATTGCAGAGTGCAAGTAGGCAAACTGTAATTAGATATTATGGAACTTGACCAGCATGCCAGTTTAACTTTATTTCCCCCCCAAAAAACTTCATGAGATTTTAGGGATCTTAAAAATTTTGGTTTTATAGCTGATAGCTTATTGCACATGCCGTCATTCACTTTTTTATTTTTAACGTGAAAGCACTCTTTTAAAAGAAGTGGGATTTGTTACGTCAATAGATAAAAGGGAGATTTGTGCCAAACTTACTATAAAATATTACTATTATTTTGTACTTATATTTCATACAAGTTCTTAAAGTACATTGTAAACTTTAATTAAGCCCCAAAACACACATTTGCATCAGGAAAATATGTGCAAACATTTTATAGATGAGTAAATTAAGGCCCAATATTAAGTGAATTGTCCATGGTCACATATCCAGTCTGTAACAGAGCTGGCAACAGAAGCTAGAAGTCCAGCCTCCCATTGTAATCCCTAGACCACGTTGCTTCACAGATTAACATAGCTAAACAGAATGGCTTCCTTTATGCCTGTGTCATAGTTACTTACCTGCGATATACTAAACCTAGTAGACTGATACTATCACATTGCTAATGTGTCACATCCAATGGGGCGTGGAAGGTTTTACATAAATGTACCTTTAGAAAAAGAAATTATTCTTGTGTGTAGACTGGTGGGCTGCACATTTTCATTATAAAGATCTAAAAGCTACTGCTCAACCTCATCATCTAAAAAGGCATCTGAAACCATTTCCCCAAACTTATTTTTTTAAATTGCTATAAGTAAAACCGTTTCTCTAGTGCTGGTGCTTGCCATGGAGAACATTTTTATGAATCCTGAAAAAGATTTTTTTTTAAATCATGGAAACTCTGACAAGCTCTTAATAACAGTGGAGCAAATACTTCTGCTGTAATAATTATCTCTGTCTGTCTGCCCATTCCTTCCTATTGTTTCTGATGTTCAAGAATGTCCTTTCATTAGTTCTGTCAGGTTTTCCTTAGCCTGGGTGCATTTTCATTATCAGAGAATGGGATGTGAAAATGGAAATTTCATGTCATATTTTTAAAATGGTAATTGAGTTTTCTGTTATTTTTTTCTTCTCAAAAGGCTGAAGAAAGGCAGCTAAGCTCCTTCCTATTGTGCACACTTCATATTTTTTTTAACTTCTCTGTTGGTTGTAGCACTCTGTTAGCAACTAGGAAATGCCATTTCTTTGTAGTAGTTCACTACCTTGCATGATTTTGGGATGCAAGGGGGAATGAATCTGGAATTCTGTCATTTTCTTTACATTCTACACTCTACCAGCCAAAACTCCCAATTATTTTTGTTCCTTTTTTAGTTCTATTGGTTTGAGTCTTTATAGTCTTCCTACCGTACTTTTACACTACTATATAGAATGGTCTTTCTGTTTACTGATTCCGTATCCTCAGTTTGCTTTTCAGTACCAAGTTTTTATGATTCAGTCTCTCAACTCTAAATGCTTTACTTACCAGCTTGTTTTATTTTACACACTTGTACTTCTGGACATCCCACAACTTCAATGATTGCAAAGTTAGGAACATAAATGCGCAGGAAACATTCAAAAGTCAGGAACCAAAGGAATCACAGTGACCTAGGGCACTAGTGTTTCCTCTGGAGGTAACTATTCAATTCTTGGCTTATTTTAGACATGTGTCCTAGCCCCATTTGTGCACATAAGAAAATCACCACACAGCTGCAATTCAATGCAACTAGGACTCTGGTCCCCAAAGAAGCCAGAACCAGGCTAGAAAGAGTGTTTGTTACAAGTCAGAAGTGTATTGCCTTTAAAGTGCCATGTTAGGAAAGTTGCACTTCATCTGCCTGCACAACCCCTGCCTCAAGATAGTGCTGTCTGAATTTCATGAGCCCTGGATTCACTTGCAATTGGAAAAAAAAGTAACATGTTTTCTGACCCAAATATTGGCAAATGTAATAGAAATTGCTGAGCTTTTGACTGCTCTTCACATCTGCAATAACGTATTATTCCCTTTGTACTTGGGCTGATGATTGAAGGGCATTTCATTTCCTGGATTTGACATTAGTAGGGAAACAGCTGAGTCCACAACATCTGACAGTATTTCTGAAAGGTTTAACTTCAACTATGTCATGATATCTCCAAAGAAACTTTTCAAATTAGGTAAGACTTGGCATGTCTTGAGTTGATGCTAACAAAAGCAGTACAGCTTCTCTCGTGGTGTACAGTCCTTTTACAATTAGTTTCCTGGAAGTGCATTAAACAGAGTAGTGCACTACAGTAGAAGAGTAGAATGAGTCCATTTTCTCCTCTGTTTGCTTCGAGTGCTGTCAGTGAAATAGAGGGAGACAAGGAAAGAAATTTAATTTGTCAGCTAAAGTTGTTCAATTATCTAGTACATCTGCTGACTATTATACACAAAGAACCAGAATGGAAAATCAAGAGGTTCCTGCAGTTAACAGTATAAAGAGCTGAGCTTTATAATAATAATTATTATAGTTCTGACAGTTTCTATACATGGTTAATTCCTTCTTGAGTGGTTTTGGTGGGATAAAAATCAGACAAATTTATGGGGGGAGGAAATGGAATGTAAAGGCATCTTAAATCAATCTGTCTCATTTATGAGAGCTAGAGATATAAGGTAAACACAATAGCTAGGGACAGACATTATACACAAACTGGTTTAAGTGATCAGAAACTGGTTTAAAGCTGTAATAGATGTTCAGTGCACATAAACCAGTTTGAAAATGGCTGAAATCAGTTTGAGATAAACCTGATTGAATGTAGTATCAGACTTAACTGATTTGGCTCAAACTGGTTTATGTAATGTCTGTCACAGACCCCTTGCTGGTTTAAGGTAAACCAGACTCCCCCAGCATCCCAACATGCTTTTTAGGCTGGGCGGAGCTCTCTGCTCCAGAGTAGAGCTGGCCCCTCTACTCTGCTCCCTGGCTGGAGGTCTGGCAGAGACTGCAGGTACAGCAGGGTCTGCCTGGCTTCTCCCTGCCCTATCTCTCCACTCTGCCTCACTGCTGAAGCAGGAATCCCCCACTCCCTCCCTCCCATCTCCCACAGCACAGACCTCAGCCCCATGGACCTTAGGCATGTGGTATGCCTGCTAATGCCAAGAGGTTTCTGTGTGTATCTCCAATTTCACTGGGGCAGGCAGACAGAACAGTGACTGCTTAGGGCTTTTTGGAGCTAATCAACAAGTTAGCCGGTAAGCTGTTTAAGAGGAGCTTAAACTGATGGAGAGAGGCTATTGTTTTACTTGACTTTACACTGTCTGCAGCAAACTGACAGAGGGAGGGAATGAGATTGAAAAGCTGCATATCATCAACAGATGCATGCACTACAAAACCTGCCTTGCCTCAGAGTGCTAGCCCGAAGCTGGGGTCTGGCCACACTCTCGCCCCTTGAGCAGCCAGCAGGGAAAAGCCTGAGATGGTGCAGGCAGGGTCGGGGTTTACACCCCCTCCCTAATCAGAGCCTCCTGCTGGGGCCTGGCCATGCCCCCCCCCAGCACTGTGCAAGGGAAGAGAGGCCAGCTCTAGCGCCCCCCAGGCTTCTAGCTTGAGCCACTGCAGGTATGTGCCTGAATTTCCTCAGTCTGACTGCTACAATCCTATGACAGCAGAACATAAAATCTGTAACAAAATAATGTAATAAACAATATGTTGTTAGTGATGTATTTCTTTCATTATTTGAAGGCTCATTCTTATGGCATATTTATGTTAATATTATTCTGTTTTCACTTCCCAGAGTAAAGATAAACTTCCATATTGGGAGAATGGTACAGGGAGAAAGGAGGCCTGGCAGAATGGATGGCATGGATACGACAATGAGCTCATGGACATGAGGGGATTCTTCCTTGCATTTGGGCCAGGTAGGCCAGCTGGATCATCAAGCAATGAGAGAAAACTGTGCATGCGCGCACACACACACACAAACAAGCACAACACCTACAACAGCTTCAGAGGAAAGGCAGGTTCAGTGTATTGCACTGGTTCAGCTACTGCAGAAATTAATTTGAGAAACCAAGCCCTTCTGTCCATAGCCCCTTTTAGCTTCCAAGCGTGACTTGAAATCTGGTGAGAAAAAACCATGATTACATTTCTCTGTGGTCAGTCAGACATCATGCACAGCCAGCTGGTATACATGCCACCAAGATAATATTGGCACTGGGTATCCCTTTCTGTTAACACTCTCCAAGGCCAGCACATAGGCACATGAGTTTCATCACTAGGTCTTGCACTGTTTGAGAGCCCTATTTGCAGAAATCATTCAGTACCAGTGCACACTTTCTGAATTTTCCCATGCCCCAAAAGTATACATTGTTTTATTCATGCTCCATGGACTTCCCAGCCACCTGTAACTATCTGGGACCTAATGAAGTCTCAGAAACTGAACTCCTTGTGTATTTCTGTTCCTTCTATAATTAAACAATTGCAGTGTGCACAAGATTTCATCTTTAAACCTAAACACACTGCAATATTATAGATTTCCCTTTATAGATGGGAAAACTAGTAACAAAAAACCCCACAAAATGATTTGCCAAGTGTACCAGCAAGTTTTCTGGGTTCCATGTACTAGATATTAGGACTGTGCAAAGCTTTGGTCATTGATCAGATTCGGTGGAGATTTGGCCCAATTCAGTGGCCAAATCTGAATCGAATCGAATCAGGAGACCCTTTAATCTCTCTGAATCAAATCGGAGCGGGGGGGGGGGGGTTGGGGAGATTCGATGATTCAGTCATAGACACAGCTTTACATGTTTTTTCTACATACCTTAAGGTACCAGGTGGCTCATGTGAATGCTGAGATGGTGGAGCAGATGGAGCGTTCCACAGGAGCGCTGGGGGGTGGTCCCCAGCGTGCACAGCAGCAGACCTGGAAGTAGACCAGAAGTACTTCTGGTCCACTTCTGGGTCCGCTGCAGAGCACGTGGGGGACCCTCCCTCTACCCCCCGACTCGGTGACTGGTGCCTCCTGGGTCTGGGGGGGGGGCACCTGGGGTCCCCCCATGGCCGATTGCTTAACCAGGGGGACACAGAGGGGTCCCCCATGCACTCGGCAGTGGACCTGGAAGTGGACCTGAAGTACTGAGAATGCGGGGGTCCCCCAGCACTCCTGTGGGATGCTCTATCCACCCCACCATCGCAGCATTCACAAGCTATTCCTGGTACCTCAAGGTATGCAGAAAAAACATTTCAAGCTTTGTCTATGACCGAATCATTGATTCTCTGAATCAGCATTAAATATTCAGATTCGGATTGGGCTGAACTGAATCAGGACAGTGATCCAAATCAACAAATCGAATCACTGTCCCCTGATTTGGGTCAAATCTGAATCAAATACAGCCCATTTCACACACCCCTACTGGATATGGCTGTTCTCACCTAACCTGGCTTGAGTTTTTAATATTATTCAAAAGGGATGCATTCTTTTTTATTCTTGGCAAAGGGCTCATCAAGACAGAGCAGGTCCTTTGACAGGGTTCATGCAATCACAGTTCACATTCCCATGAAGATGTAGAGACTATTTGATCCTCATTTTGTCAGACCCTTTCAATACTGAATAGTATACATCTTTTGCAAGTGAGAAATAACAACAGAACATGTGATGCAGTCATTTTAGAGCAAAAGTGTGCTGAAAAGCTGTAAAGCACTGATTTTCATCTATGGTACTGTGGCACCCCTGGGTGCCACCAGATCCTTTGAATGGTGCCACAAGGTGTGAGGATATAAGCAGATAAGCAAAGGATCAGTTTGTCCCTGCCTGACTAATCCCCCATCTCCACTGCCTGGCCCTTCTTCAAGGAGGTAAGCACTGTAACATGTAAATTGGTTTTTGAATTTAGGTGCCAGTCAATTCACAAAAGTTATGAAGGGGTGCCTCAAATCCAAAAAGGTTGAGAACCACTGAATTAGAAATATGCTGAAATACCCAAACATGTAGCAATGTAAATACTTCCTGTGTTTGATAATTTCCTTCTTTTTTATTTACTAAATCGTTTAACAAATAAAGCCCTCAAGATTTTCTATGAGTATCTAAAAGGGCTAAAGGGCTTGTCTATGTTAACGCCTTGTTCAGCAATACTCCTACGATTCAAAGTCTCAAGGCAAAAGAAATGATATAATGTTAAGTCCTCCCTGATATCCAGAGACTAAAACATTTCTATGCATGTCTTCCTTTCAGATTTCAAATCTAACTACAGAGCTCCTCCAATTAGATCAGTCGATGTTTACAACATCATGTGCAATCTTGCAGGAATAAAGGCACTGCCAAACAATGGATCCTGGTCCAGAGTGGAGTGTATGTTAAAAAATAATGCCAATTTGGCACAGTTATTCCACTGGAGCAGCTGTGTGCTGGCATTGTTTCTATTTTTACTGTTTGCATAGCATATCTTGTTTCTCTGCCCCCAAAATAATGTTGGTCAGTGTAATTAGTAACTCGCTTTTTTTTTAATACTTCATTTGAATAATAGCTTCATTAACAGAATATTGTCTGGGTAAATTGCACATATTGGCCCAAAGTCACACCTCAAGTTACCCCTAGGAAGATGATGCAGATTTATCCTATCACAATAGTTACAGTAATGTGTGGCCAAGATTTGCTTTCCTTTATGCTGTGGTAAATATAGACAAGATTCAGAAGACATTATTGCTAATTTGGATTTGTCCCATTACCAAGGAGAGCAGAATCTAGGCCCCTCATTTTTAAATCTCCTGGGTTTTGTTCAGCTGGTTTGGTTTGATATTTCTGGGGAGAACTCACCTTCATAACTAAGGAAATGTTTTCACTGCTGTATTGTTTAGGGGCTCAGGCCTGGTTTTCACAATTTTACTTTTTGTTTACCTCTGGATTATATATCTCTAATGGAGTCATGGTTTTCCCTTGCAAAACCAAGATACCTGTGGTGAACATGGCCCCCTTCCCAAAACAGGAGAGAAGTAGCTGTTCTCCACTAAACTATAATATGTACAACTCCTACCAGCTCTATTCTAGATGGGGTACATGGGAGGATGTAGGGGCCATGAATATAGCATTCTTCTTTTCCTAGATTTTCTCTCTCCATGTGCCTCAGGGCTTCAGTAGACCAGTCAACCAAATTTTGCTCCCTTTCAAATCACAAGAGTTTTGCTATTGATGTCAATGATATTAAGACCAAACAGGGAACAAGAGCTAAACAAAGTCAATCCTGAATTCAGGTCTCCCCATGTGATAATCTACTAGTGGCAGCATAACTAGGAGTGGGTGAGTGGGGCACCAACCCCAGGTGCAGAGCTCATGGAGGTGCAAGAATGGCAGTCACTATGCTGCCAGCGCAGCTGCCGCCCAGAATGCAAAACTTCCTAGTTATGCCCAAAAGAATAATTAGCAGGGTTTGTGCACTGCTGCTGTTGCCATGGCATGGACTCCCTGGGGGTTGCTGCCACTAAATTGGTGCCTGGGACTGGTGCCCTGCTCACCCTCCCCAAGTTATGCTACTAGTTACACTTCTGCTTACTAGAATGGCCTACTGTTTTTAAATTAAGCCCATGAGAGCATATAAAAAGAGCAGAGCCGGGAGATTTTTTTCAGTGAACAATAAATACATTGAAAAAAATGCAGTTTCCAGATTACCAAAATACTCCTGAAACCTAGAAAAATCCAGCAAATAATTTTGGCTGAAAATCATTTTGGAAGAGTTGAAACATTTCATTTGGACTTTTCTCAAAATGAAATACATCACCCTTCTGTTTTTAGACAACTTCATTATTTTGAAATTGACAGAAATTAAAGGAAAGCACTAAAGAACTGCAAAGCAAGACAAAAAACAGACAAAAATATTTCTCAGACAAAATATTTCTGAGAGCCCAAAACAAAATTTTATTTCAGTAACATTTGGTCCATCATTAAACCAAAAAGCCGCCAAGCCATTAGTCATGAAGCTCTAACAGAGGTATTTTTACAATTCTAATTTGGCACAGCATCCATGCCTCACTTTTCCTCAAAATCTAACCATATTTATTTAAAAATAAATAAATAATAGTTTTAGTCCTTCTGGTTGTGAAAAAGGTCCTGAAAATGTGAATCACCTGTAAATTGATGCTGCAGTTGAGTCTGCTGGCAGTTTTAGACACACTCCCTGAGATGTACAAGTAGTCCTCTTTATCTCAGTTGGACACTGAAATATGAAAGACATTAATTTAAATGTAACCATTGTTAATTATTTTATTGCTGATCATTTTAGCAGAAAATATCCCAGCTATACACATTATCATGTAGCTCCCACAACTGTCCAAAACGGTTCCATTTCCAAACCTTCAGGCTTCCCTGTACCAAGTTTTACAGTGCAGATACAGACTGCCAATAGAGAAACCTGGAGCATATAGAAAATGGAAAGCATAGGAACAATGGAAAACGAATGCATTTAATATCAGAATAAATAACACATGATTCTTCAAACTTTTATGTTCATGTTTAATTAACTCAACTTCACATCTGCATTTAAATAACATTTAATTCCCAGTCTGCTGCAGAAACAAGAGCCTTTCATCTGAATTTAGACTTAACTTACTGTGGACTATGGCAGGATATGCCTATGGATCTACAGGATAAGAACTCAATCTAGCTTGCCAGAATTTTACTGGATTTCTTTGTCTCAATATCTGAAATGATTTCAATGGTTAATAGATCTAATGAAGTGTCAGTGCCAGAACAATGTCTGAAGTCTTATGTTGTGCTTATGTAAAATTGTTAGGGAGGGAAGACCAGCCTCACCAATAGAATGCACGCAAATGAAAGAGCAAGGATGGACAGAATCACAGCAATTCATGTGCATAGGTGGAAAAAAAAGATCCCTCATCTTGCCACAGAAGGTCTTCTCCATCTATCAAAATATGTTAGTGACAAGTACAGTAAAGCAGTTTGGAACACAGGTGTGTCTCCAAACATTAATTGATGAAGCAGTGGAAGATAACATCACCCCTTCAGGTTATAGAATGGACTTACAGGGTTGGAAGAAACTTCAAAGGTCATGTAGCGCATCCCTCTGCACAGATGCAGGATGCATTATTCCTAAATCATCCAAGACAAATGCCTATTCAGCTTCCCTACACAGCTTCTTTCATTGTCCTATCCTCACAGTTAGGTTAGTCCAATATGTCAACTGAACTTGTGAGGATTTTTAGCACCTACTGATTTTAAATAATAGCAAAAGGGAAAGTATGGGGGTTTTTTTAAAATGTTTGTCATTTAAGCAGAATAGTATGCCATGCATGCAGCTGTTTTCTGCACCAGTAACACAAACTTGGTAGACTGACTATCAGCCCTTGCCCCAATAATGAGACGAGGGACAGCCTGTACGAGACAGCCAAGTCTAACATTTAAACCTCTCTCTCAGACTTCAAGTCTAGGGACCAAGAAGTATTCCAAATGAAAATGTAACGAATTTATCAGCCCAGGGATCTTAACTGCAAAGTTGTACTGCTCATGTTCATAGACTCTGGGAGGGAACATACAGGAAAATCCAACAGCAAACCTGATTATACAACCTAAATATTAATTTCAGCACATATAGACCTGAGAATTCAGCATTAGTTAACAGAACAGGGCAAAATATACTCCCTAAAACAACAGCTATTATATTTAAATTCAAAAGATTAATTTCACTTTGTTGTTAAACTACTTCGTTGCTATATTCCTTGATGTTAAATATCAGGAATATCCCTGCATTTACAAATGGTAGTGATAAGCAATGTACACAGTCACATCATTCTATTTTTTCTAAAGTTTCCACTCAAAAATGAACACATTTTCATATCTGGAAGAAAGGCACATGGGGCTTGAAACTGTAAATTGCTGAGAACCCTTTATGCCCAACGACAATGATGTGAATGCCAGGTGTTCAGCAGAACCTCAAAGAAGGTGCTCGAACACTGATAGATTGAATTTTAGTGAAGGATTTGCAATAGATAAAAGTTTTTTTGAAAAATCAGGTTTCGTCCTGAAAGAAATAAGCCCCTACAACTTAATAGTCCTATGGATCCAGCATAAAGCACGTTCTAGTGAAGCTTGGTACAGTGAGTTTAAGGGTAAATTATTACAACATAAAAAAAAAAAATCAAATTAAACTTGACAACAGGCTTCTGTAACAGCCATAAAGATTTATGTAATGTGTTTTTAAAGCTCAAGTGAACCATCAAATCAATTGAAAAAAAATAGAAAATCAGTCTTTGTTATCAAGCTGTTGAGCATAAAAGGCATTTTAGCGCTTTCTAAGCATTTGCAGTGGCTGTAAAACAAGCAGCTATTGTTCAAAGTTACTGTTGCTCTTTAATGGACCAGGCTCAATGGATTCACTGAGTGCATTTTTTTTAAAGCGAGAAAATTATCCACATAAAAGATAACTAAATGGCTAAATTACAAAGTTTTGTTTGAAAACCAACAGAATGCATAAAATGCACGCTAATCCTTCCACATTAAAAGCTTCATGGAGAACATTCTGATTTAATTTTTAAATGCATCTCAGGAATAACTTTATTAAGTCAGTTAAGTTTTTCTAAATTGAGATCAGTGCAAATGAGATGAGCACTGACCTATCATTGCTTGTGTATAAATGGGTAACAAATATATTCAACTTGCTGTATTATTTGTGCAAATATTGCAGGGTTCATTTTCAAAATACACTAACAGTTTGATGGGGTTCAGGGCAAACACTGTAAGCCTGATCATGCACCCCAAAATATACTTGATCTACAAAAGGGAAATTCTATGCTAAATTTACATGAAGCTCAGCAACTTCAGGAGAACAGAGTTTAATTATGTTTTAGGAATGTGTCTTTCTTGCTCAATATTTTGTACTTCTGTATTGATTAATGTTCTGGTTCAAAAACCAGTGCTTTAATTATAAGCATGCTTATCTGTACAGCAAGCAACTTAGGTGAATGTATTTTAAAAACCATGTGTCTGAATGATGCTTTTGAAGAATGACTGCTTGTGAATGAGTGAATAAGTCTAAGAATGCTGCTTCCTTTCTGTAAGAAAAATATTCACTTTTGTAAATACTGTATGATTTCCAAAAAAACCCAGAATATCCTGCCTTTCCTGTTTGATTGTTGTATCAAAGTGTTGTCATATTGATCCAATTTTCACTTTCTAGGATGCTGCAGCTTCTGCAGTATAAACAGTGTTTGAAGCTTATACTGATTGATCATCAGTAGGATGAATGATAACATTGTTTAGATAACCAGCAAAATCCTCAGCATGTACATTAGAGATCCTAAAGAAACTGTATTGGTTAATATGGCTTGTAAATCAGATAATTATTCCAGAGATATTACAATAAAGTTAATCTTTTGAATCTGTTTTTCTTCTGACTGCATGCACTATCCATAGCTGCAAGATCCATTTTGTGCCACTGTATCACCTGTAGTCTCCATGGTTTTATTTGTACACACTCCTTATATGCTCTTTGGGACTTTTTCTTCTCTGTAGAGCAGGTAGTATAGTGAGGGCATGAATAGGTTCCTAGGTAGTACTACAATGCCAATAATAATGCAGACAGGTAATTATGTTCTGCTACACTGGGAGCAGTCCTGTGGAAAGCTGAGAACTCATACAAAATAATTCTCTTAGCCCAGATGAAAATGTACAAAGCTTTTTTTTTAATCGTGTATCAAAGGTTTGAATCCAGCATCACATAACAGACCAGCCATTGTACTGCTCTATCTGAAGGTACTTGCAAGTCCAGTTACCGGCATGCATCCCAAATAAGTCACCTCTGTATTTAGCACCTGCTCTGCCTAATTGAGTTACACTACTGGAGACCAGCAAAGTGGGCAAGAGGGGTACCCACCCTGGGCACCAAGTTAGAAGGGGCACAGAATTGCCTCTCCTGACCATATTGCCATGCCTGCATCCTGACCATATTGCCATGCCAGGGACTTTGAAAGAGTTCCTAGCTGCTTTTGCTTTAAGAGCAACAGAGCTGAGGCAACCACAGCACATACGGCAGCAGCTCAGCCAGGTCTGTTTAGAAGTTCCTGCTGCCTCCCATCCCATTCTTGACTCTCAGACCTGTGCCCTCCTGCCCTCAGAATTCACATGCCTGGCGCTTTCCCTCCACACTTTCCTACAGGGCTTCATGAACACTAAGGGCCAGATACTTGTGCATAGATACCTGCTGGGTATCTAAGCACAATCCTATTCTGTCCTTCTCATGGCCCTAGAAACCTGGAGCCAAATGGCTAAGAGGAAGGTGCTTTATAAAACAGACATGCTGACAGGTTTTCAGGTGCTTACACCTAAATGTATAAGCAAATTTTAAAAGCCCAGAGACTCCTCCAAAGTTTCTAACAGGAAATTGAAGGCAAGAAGTGTGATGCTAGTGCTCAGAACTCACGGTAGAGGTGATATCTTTTATTAAGCCAACTAGATGTTTGCAAAAAAAGTCTTTATTTGCAAGCTTTTGGACACAAGCACCCTTCTTCAGGCATAGGAGAAAAGACTGTAAAAGTTCTCCTATGCAGAAATGAAAGTTCACATTTCATAGGAGAGTTCAAGGTGTGTTAAATCTCCTGTTTGGAACAGTTCATTTTAAGCAGATTAGGATCAGAGAAAGGTGTCTCCCCCAGGGGTGCACAGTGGTGAAAGCTTTCTCCTCTCCACCCCACTCCCGACAAACAACTTGCGGCTCCATCCTGTGCCTGACTCAGTCCCGTCTGGGCAGCGCCTGCCCCTGCCCCACTCCCTCCCTCACCGCAGGGGCCACAATCGCCTCCCTTCACTACACCCATTTCCTCACCTCACCCTTGCCCCCAACAGACTTACCAGCCAGATGCTGCTGTTCAAGCTGCTGGGCTGCATATCAGCAATTGGATTGATATCAGCTGATATGGCTCATTAATAATCGGCCATTGGTATCAACCCAAACATTCCTAATTGGTGCACCCCTAATGAAAGATATTTCCTCTACCCTAAGTTCTGATTCCTTTTGCCTCTAAACCAATACAGCTACAACCTGGGTACCTGATGCTAGCGCTCAACATTTATGTCATTATTTGGAGCAGCACAAGGATCATTGATCAGTTTATGGACAAATCATTTGGACTACATGTTGCAATCTGATGCCATGCTTAAACACATACAGACATTTCTTTGTCCAGTGCAATACTACCTAGAATACTCTACACAGTGAATAATAATACTTTGCACTTAACTAACACCTCTCATCTCAGGTTCTCAAAGTACTCAGCAAAAACTAATTAAGCCTCACAACAGCCCTTTCAGGTTTGGCACAACCCAGTTGATGGATAGCTACAGATAGGTGACAAATGGAGGGAGATATAACAATAATGTTATACTTCAGTTTAGTCTGTAATCCTAAAGAAGTTTCAAGATTTCTGATTGAAATTGCACTGCTTGTAGTTTTAATATTTTTGACATATAAATTGTTGATGAGTTTCAGAGTTAAACACTCTGCTGGTATGGAATGGCTGACTCACACCACTCAGAGACGCTGCTTCAAACCCTGCCCCTCTTCAAATTTTGACACACAAGTCAGCATGAAGCAGGTTTTCACTGCAAATGCAGTGAAATGCTATGCAGAAATCAAAGAGACGGGCAAAAGTGTACTTGCCTGGTGTACGAGTTCAAACCGATCCTTCAAAAACATGTTGTGTTATATGTTTGTTATACCCACCAATCAATCACCCCCTTCTATATTCATACTGCAGAGCACAGGGTTGAGTTGGAGAACTCAAAGAGGATTTCATGACTTTGTTCTCAGTGGAATTTCTCTCATTTTTCTGAGATGCAATTAACTCAACAACCTATGACTGCATCAAATAAAAAAATAAAATAACCATCACCTACCATCCAGTGTACCAGAAGATCCTTTAAATCAATCAGCAGAGCTACTGACAGCAAATGTCCTACAGCAGTGGTGCTCAACCTCTGGCTCACAGAGCCATATTAGCAGAGTTCTTTAGAGGTCTAGAAATTTAGTCCTAGGAGCAATCAACACTGCCACCTCTCCCCAGCCATCACATTTTCAAGCCCTGCAAATCAGATGACATGACCCTATGTCCTATCTAACGAGCAGGGCCAGAGCCATGGAGCCCAATCCAGTGCACAGGGCGAGAACCCAATCCAGCATGCAGGGCTGGGGCTGTGGGCTTAACTGGCCCCATGTGCTGAACCAGGGCCCGGGCCTGGGCCCACACTCCCAATCCAGCCTGCAGACTAACCTCGCATCAACCAAGCAAACTCCCTGCCTTTTTTTCCCCGGCTGCTAAATTTCATCCAGAAGTTAAACCCATACTTACCTGCATTGAAGATGTTACATGACTGCAAATGAAAGGGAGCTGAATAAATGTCTGTAATATGGGGAAAATTTGAAAACTCTACTTGAGGATAATATTATTTTAATGGCTGTTTGGGAAGACTTCTCCACTTATATCCAATTACATACTAAAATGCTACTAAGTTTGCGAAGTCAAAGCACTCAAAAATTAGGAAATTCAGGAATCAAAGTTCTTCCATTGTCTTATGTACATAAGAATTGTGATACATTTATTAATTGCAGCAATAGTGCAACTACAGTGGTGCCAGCCCGCAGACCAGATCTGGCCATGTCAATTAGCCATTGAGGCTCCCCATGGGTCCCGAAATTTGGGGATGGGAGAGCAGTGGTAATTAATGCTGCCACTGCTCCCCCACTGTCAAATTTCTGGAGCCGTGGGCCAGATGTCACAGCTCTATATGCAAAGCTGGACCCAATTGGGTGTGCAAGGCTGGGGCATGGGGGCCTGATTTGGCACACCCCTGGGGGAGGCACCTTTCTCTGAGCCTAATCTGCTTAAAATGAACTGTTCCAAGTCCAACCCCCTGCTCAAAGAAGAACCATCCCTGTAAAAGCTTTGTCTAGCCGGGTCTTAAAAACCTCCAGGGACAGAGATTTCACCACCTCTCTGAGTAACCTGTTCCAGTGTTTTACTACCCTCCTAGTGAGAAAATTCTTCCTAATATCTAACCTAAACTCCCCTTGCTGCAATTTGAGGCTGCTGCTCCTCGTTCTCTCATCTGCCCCCACTGAGCTCCATCTCTTTCGAACCCCACTTCAGGTAGTTGAAGGCTCCTATTAAATCCCCTCAGTCTGCTCTTCTCTAAACAAAATAAGCCCAGTTCCCTCAGCCTGTCGTTGTAAGTCATGCACTCCAGTCCCCTTGCCATTTTTGTTGCTTTCTGCTGGACTCCCTCCAATTTCTCCACATCCTTTCTGTAGTGGGGGCCCAAAACTGAACACAGTACTCCAGATGCAGAATCACCAGTGCTGAACAGAGGCGAATAATCACTTCCCCTGACCTGCTGGCAACACACCTACCAAAGCACCTTCACTGTATATCACACACACACCACACACAATTTTTACATATATCAGATATATCCCCTTCCCTAATGCACAGCAGTCATGACACCTAGCTAATTATATGCATACAGCTTTGTAATTCTCAGTTGAAAACCATTGTAAAAATGTAAAATATTAGTATATTATCAAACAAAGGTGCCTAAGCTACATTTTATAATTGTACTAGAAATGTTATAGTTTTCTATTCCATCAGAAACTGAGTGCAACTTTTGAACAATGCATTTCAAACTCTTGGTAGTAACATCTAGAATGCATGTCAGTCATAGAAGTGAACACTGAAAAAAGAACTAGTACTGTAGCTATTTCACTTATTCCTACAGATTTCCTGAGGGAGCAAGTTTTTTGGTTGATATTTACTAGATATGTAGATAAGATTCCCTCATTAAAGTTTCATAATGCTGAGAAAAATAAATTAACTAAAATAGCTGAATGCTTCCATTTCAGTTTGAGTTGAATTGTTCTGTTGGTTCAAGAAAGGACAACGAGCTGAGCAAACATAAAGGGCACAAGGAAACTGGCAATGGGAACCTTCCAGTATTTATATGCCCTTGCTTTCCTGTTGCTATTAATGGATCAGAATGTCAAGGGTCCAAAGAATACACCACCACCAGAAATTAGAGCCACAGCTGAGAACACACAGTAGCAAAGGTATGTGCAAACAGTTGGTCAGTAGCCACTGAATCTCCAAGAAAAACAGAAGTGATCAATTTGATCTTTTTTTAAGGAGAAAAGCCAATAAAGCAATGAAGTTCAAGCTGCATGTTACTAAAGTGCTGTCTTATACAGCATGAACACAACATTAAGATAATACAAGACCATTTCTTGCTTTTCAAATAAAAACATATTCAGGCTGACAGTAATGCTGGCATTTCCTTTCTGTCTGATAAAAGCAATTCAACCTTCAGAAACTTATTTGTGATTCAAGAAGGGATTGTT